CATATTTTATTGGGATAATTGGCTTAGCCTTAAATATCTTTATTGTAGACTTGATGTTGGTTATATTTTTTCCACCTGAGTAATGATGGAATTTCAAACTCTAGGAGTCAAAAGAAATATACAGTTTAATTCTAGACGGTCCAGATAAACTTCTAGGTCCACATTCTCCTCTACCTGACTTTAATTTTGGTCCGAGCACCCAGACCATTGCTAGAACTGCTCTGAGTCACAAGGAATTGTTCTTTATCCTGATACCTGCTTGTGGCTCATTTCCTAATTTTAGATTCCAGATAGTACTCTGACCTCATTGCGTGTGATTTTCTTCCTGACTTCAGCATATATTCAGTGTACACACAGACATACACTTTGCACATTTAAAGAGGAGAAGTGAAATTACAGATAAAATGGTGGGGAGGTGGTAGGCTGGTAGGGCCGCCCTTTCCATCTTCACCTTCTTTTCTTTCTGTTCCTCTCTGGACCACTGTCCCTCATTGCCTTTTCAGTGGAGACATCTGAAAGGTGGTGGGGCATGGATCAAGCCTTAGAATACGATAGAAGTACAGCTCAGGAGCCAAATGTTAGTGATTATTATTATTATTTTTAAAAAATTCCTCTAGCTTCCCTCCGAGGTAGGAAAGAGCACAACGGTAATAATTAGAACACAGTTATGGGTTAGAGAGATGGGAGAAAGGCAGCAAAGGGATTATATTGTGAAGTGTGTCCCTGCTGAATGAATGTGGGTAACTGGTCACAAAGCTCCCAGAAGGAGGATGGCCAGATGTGGATCTGCTTATGTCTGGGCAGTTCTGAATGTGTATTCCAGAGTTTTGTGTGTGTGTGTGTGTGTGTGTGTGTGTGTGTTGTGCGTCTTTGGTTACAGACTCAGTATTCTTTTATCTCTAATAAGAAAGCTATCTGTCTCTAAAGAATGTAACCATGAATATTTCTTTCAGGCATCTGTGATTTCTGAATCCTTTTCCACCTAGTCAGAATTGTAATTAATTATCCTGCAGGCCTTTTTGGACTCTAAGGGAGTTGAAAATCATTTGACATTAGCTGCTTCTTTGAAATTAAAACATGTGACTATGAAGTGAGGCACAAACTTTTAAGTTCTAGACATATATCTATATGGCATACAATTGAAATGTATATAATAGAGATACTGCATTTCAATAGCAATATTTTTATTACAGAGAATGAGAAATCATTGCCACAACCTAAATTGTACAAAATCATTTCAAAAATCCATGCTGGTCTACTTATAATTTTTTTGAACAATAAATTTGAACAAACTTTATACCCTAGATTTCCTTGATTTTTTTTCTTACCTCCTAGAACCAATTAGAAAGGCTTTAAAATGGTGGAAAGATCTTTCTTTCTTTCCAAAAATTATTCTATGAAATTGCAAATAAAAGTTGTATAGAAGTCATTCTCAAGTCCTAGTGTTTTCAAATTATGTTCTAAATTTTTAAGAATTACCAATTTTCCATGAACTGTTTTCCTTCCACCCTTTCCCCACTTACTCATTCAGTAGTTTCAAGATTCTAAATGATTATTTCATCAAGTAAAGTCAACCTCAGAAATTTCAACAATTTACCACATCAGTCTTAATCTTTAGCAATTATTTTGAATTATTATTGATTCAACCATGTTTAGTCACATATTTTTATCTAGGAAATGGCCATGGTTCTGTGTTCCCTTTGGAATTAGGAGGTTTACAGAGCTAAAGGAGATAATGTAGATCTGGGGCAAAATGCCCTACTAATGAAAGACTTCTTCTTTTATCATAATTCTTAAGATGGATAATACTAAATAAAGATTAAATTAGTTTTAATCTAAATTTTCTCTGCCTATTATCAAGACTTCTGGGTAAAATATGGTGATTGATATTTAAATAAGAGAATTAGAAATGAATGAACCATCAGCACTACTGATTTACATACTGAAGGTAAAGATCACAGTTTAATTTTATAAAGGCACATACATAACTCCTCTTTTTCCTTTGTGGACTTTCATGTGTGTATTACAGTTCCTTGGACAAAAGTTCTCTAATTCCACTTATACAAGTTGAGAGGCTTAAAACTAACATAGGCTTTTTCCCCCACCTTGTTCCAGAAAATCTGTGGAATTGCACCAGAATTAGAAGAGCCTGGATTAGAATTCCTTGTAAGCCTAGAGTAGAACGTGTATGCTTCTGAAAATGTGTTTGGTAGACATATGTCGATTTCTGGAACATTGTATTTGGCTGAGCATTGGTAAGATAACCTTGCTCTGGCTGGGAGCTCAGACTTCAAACATTTCCAGTGCTCCAGGCACCTGCCACACGCCCTTCACTCCTCTAAACAGAAAAGCTTTCTGTTTAATTCACAATGATTAATAGGCTTCCCAGTCTATTACAGAGACAGAGAAGCAAATAAAAACCAGGGAGGTAAGGATATTGATAGTTGAAATATTTGTTGGCCTAACAAAAAGGAAGAAGACCTGAAAGATAAAATGTTCTGGATTTCTGGGTGTATGTAATATCTGAGAGTCATTTAAAGAAAGGTTAAATTTATCCACTGGAAAGTAATTGTCAATGCGTATGTGGGGAATTTCACTTATCTGAAAAACATATAATGTGGAAAACATCTTTCAAAGAAATGTAGCACGCCCCCCATAGTATCACATAATAGGTACAGTTGTCAACTTTGTTTCCGCCAAGACCTGGAAAGGATATAAAGCATTGGTGGCGGAGGGGGCATATAGGCATAAGTTTGAGTACATAGAACACATTTTAAAATCTGAATATAACGTGGAATCTGAATGGAACAGATTCATGCATATTTAAGTCTAAATTACCTACATGTGAATTAACTGCTTTGCTAAAAATAAAATATTTCTTAGTCTAGGTTGGCATTCTCCTGATAGCCTGTTTCTAGGCCATTTCTTTTTATGGGTTGTTGAATAATCAGAAAATATGGAAGCTAATAGCTTACTCTGTAAATGAGGCACAAGTATAAATAACAAATACATAGATAAGGAAGATGGATTTTAGTTTTGGTGTATGTATATAAAAATTAGAAAAATATATCTTCTTTCAGGGAAATTATTCTAAAATAAATGGGAAATTGAGTTTAAGAAATTACGTTTGTGAATATTTTTACTTCATGCAGAAAAAGCAGAGCTTAGAATAGTTAGTAAAATGACCCAAATTCTGTTCATTAATTATAAACATCAGAATACCACCTTGTGTTTATATAGCACCTGTCTCTTAGTAGGTAGCAGAACGATGACACAGAGGTTTTGTTTTTATTTATTTTTGTTATGTGTTTGGCTTTCATTTTGTTATGTTAATCAATACTTGTTTGACTGTGTAGTTGGAAGGATGACGATCTCATCCGTATATTACCAATTTGAGAATATATTTAGAAAGACATGTGACTTCTGCTGGTTTAGAAATGCCTAATTTTCTCCAACATTAGTTGTTAGAGCTGCTATTTTTATTGTACTATCAGGTTTTTCCAAGTTTTTTTTTTTCCTGATCAGTAATTGTTTCCTTTTTTTTTTTTTTTAAATCAGTCAACTACTCACAAAGCAGAGAAGATAAATAGTCTTAGTATTTTCACTGGATTTTTTTTCCTACACAAATAAAAGTCCTGAGTAGCACTGATTACAAAGTAGCCTCTATAATTGACTAATTCTGCTTTTGAGACTCAGCAGTTGCTACCATAATAATCCACCACCATCTTGAAACTCTTGGTTCCATGTTACTATGGAGGACATCTTACTAAGCCATATTTTTCAGTGTTTTCAGACTCATTTACAAAGCCATTGTCTTTTTTGGGGAACTCCGAAAGTAAGGATTTTTTTCTTCAAACTACCGATTCATTGGAGAAACTAGTGTTACAGATTCTGTTTTGTTTATTAAATTAGCTTTGAAAGAGTCTCTTAAAATATATTGGGTTCTTCCAATCCCCATTTGATCCACAACAAGCCTCCACCACCATCGTGTTTCTGTATGCAACTGCTTAGTCCAGCTTTTATTTTATTAGCATTATCATATAAACTTAAATATTTGCTTACACATGATCCTTATAAGTAACAGATCTGAAAAATGAATAGAAAAGAAAGATGAGTTTACATTCATGGTTTGCTAATTGTTAATAGTCATATTTAATTTTCTTTGTAGCATGCAAGCAGTTTATTGAATTGAGCTTTACCGTAATTCATACTGAATGCCACTGCCTTATGGAAATTTTAGTAAATTATGTTTGTATAATACAGATTTTTTTGAACTACATTATTGTTTAAAGAAATTCAGTTTAGTATAAATTTTTCACTTTTGTTACAATTCACAAAATAAGTAGAGAAATTAACAATTTTAATGCAGTTTATTATTAGGAGTTTAAAAGCCACTAGCTAACAGCATCTGCCTTTTATTTTTATTATGTGAGCTGTTGTGTATATAACATCCTGCATACAATAACCTCTTCATTCTTCTATTCTAATTTATACCTATTTGTTACTTTCCAAAGGTCCTGGAAAAATAACTTCTTATGTTGCTTTGTCACAATGCAATAAACCTGTTTTAAAATTATGATCAACCTTTTTGGCTTTAACAAACTATAAGAATTGCCCACGTATTTGCTTTGTGAGGAAAAAACATCTGGCATGCAATGAGTTATCCTTTAGTGATTTATGTCAAGCAGTAGCACATGTACACTCAGTTCCACAGTTTGTGTTAACAGCTATTGTTGGACCAGGCATTTCTCCAAAGCTCATGAGTTAGGGAATGGTAATTATAGTAAGTCGTATATTATAAATAATGCATGTATGTTCCACATGAGCTGTGTGGGATTTCGGCCCATTTGCTAGAACATAGCTGCATAATGATTTGTTTGGATTTTGTTGCAGATGATTGATAGTGCAGAATTTTGGCAATGATGTAAATTACTGTTGGGCTGCCTTGAAAATTTCAGTACAAGTGGTGATTTCTTCTCTTTTTCTGTGTGCTTGTCTAGTCTCGGCAGACACCTGAGGGTGAGTTCCTTCCCCTTGATCAACTTGAACTGGATGTAGGTTTTAGTACAGGGGCAGATCAACTTTTTCTTGTTTCCCCCCTCACAATTTGCCACGTGATCGATGCCAAAAGCCCCTTTTATGACCTATCCCAGCGAAGCATGCAAAGTGAACAGTTCGAGATTGTCGTCATCCTAGAAGGCATTGTGGAAACAACTGGTGAGTAAAAACATAGATATGACATCAAGTTTCTTTATTCCATAATAATATTATATTTATATGCACAAGACCTATCATGGATTGGGTTAAATGTCTCAGTTTGCAACAATGAAAGTAATGACTTGCCTCTTATTTCTTTTTAACATTAAGTTGATACTGCTTGGAAAATGAAGATTTACTGTTGCCATGACTGCATAAGTAATGTTAACTCAGGAATACTTACTGAAAAAAAAAAAGGGAAATTGAGATGACTCCTAGAAATGATTATGATGTTCTTGTTTAATTGTAGACTTGGATTTCCTATAATCATATTTTTTATAAAGATTTAAGGTTAAAATAAATTCAGGATAATTAGTGAGCAGCCTGAACTCAACATGCATATTCTTGCCTTAGGGATGGTGATTCGTGTGTCACTGATAGAGCTTTGATATGCTACTATGTGCAACCTCAGTGGAAAATTCTGTGTGTGTGTGAGCGTGTGCTAAAGCAGCATTTTAATTTCAAAGTGGGTCAGTAGATTTCCCCAGCTGAACCTTGAACAAAACATTTTTAAAAGGAGATTTTTCTCCTTTTTCTGCTTTAGTATAGCTGTGTGCTGTCTGTTTTTCCTTAAGATGCTGTATAATGCTGGTATGCCCTGAATACTCACAATTTGCTACTCCCTGAGGAGAATAAGGTTGGCAAAGAAAAAAAACAATAAATCAGAGTGTATTATTTGCAGCCTGAGTATTGCCAGTTGATTTGGAACCTGCTGGAAGTTTGAGACTAATAATGGGATATCTACATAATTGTATCTATCTAGCTGTCTATTTGTCTATCTATCTTGAGTTTTACCCTTTCTACAAGTAATGAGAAGGTATGAAGTATTTTCGCTCTCAGTTTTTTTCTCCCAGTTTCATTCTAATGATCTTAAAATGCTAATTATTATGTTTAAACTATAGAACTGAAAGTAACAACGGGAATAACATAGATACGTTCAAGCCTTGTACGAAGGTGGGAGGAGTTACATAATGAAGAAATCTCCCACCCTGATACAAAGCTTTGTTGGAGCAGCAGGGGGAGGCTAGCCGTTGTGATCTTTGTACACGTCTTATATTACACCTTTTGAAATTTGGGCAAGATGCTTAATCTCCATAAGCCTCTTTTCCTTCTGTTTAAAAGGGGAATAATGTAATAACCACCGTGAAGCTGCTTGTTGATCACTATTATTTTATTATCATTAGTGCTTTACTTTAAAAATTAATATTTTGAGGATGGTGAGTAAAGACATAACTCATCAACCTATATCTGAAATTTGATTTCAGTGGCTAATTTTATGGTTTAAATTGTCTAGTTTTTAACTTAAAAATTGAAATGATGTCACAGTCTATTTCTAAAATATATATTGATAAATAATGAAACTAATTTATAAAGCTTTTTTCAAGAGATCTTTACATTTAAATTTTAATTTTTATTCATCTCATTTATTGAAGTAATAACATATTGTTAAAGCTTAAACAGCAGATGTTTTTACTGATTTATTTTTTAGAGTATACAGTTTTATCTTCGACACACCTGATTATAGTTTACTAATTGCTTATTATTTTAATAACTCCCATGAGCGAGGTTTGTTTCACTTGACACCCTTAGCAATCTTTCATTAGTTTTGTTTGTCTATCCATCCATCCATCCATTTTTCCTACTTATCCCTAGTTAGTGTATATTCCTAAGACAGAAAAATTTTCCACAAAATCATAGTGCAATTAAGAAAAAAATCAGGATTTTGAACAGTGATACAATGCTATTACTTGGCTCATAGTCCACATTCAGATTTTATCAGTTGGCCTAGTCATTTCCATCATAGCTATTTTTTCCCCTGGTTCAACATCAATTTAAAGATGATGCCCCCGCTTGGTTACTTGTCTTCTCAGTCTCCAGGTGGAATGGCTCCTTGGCCTCACTGTCTGTTCTTGACCTTGATACACTTGAAGAGTACAGGCCAGGTATTCTGTAGAATGTCTCTCAATGTGGATTTGTCTGAGTTTTCCTTATTCATTAATTCTTTTCATTTTTGACTTCTACATGGGCATCTTAATAGAATATTGAAGCAGATTGTTTTTAAAATATGCATATGTATTCTTGACTCAACTGATGCTGTGTGTCTTCATCAGAATTCAGAGGATCGTGGTTAGTAACTGATATTCTACATAAGGTCATTTGGAGTTTTGTAATATTAAATTATTCATCAGGACTGTAGATTTTATTTTAACATTTCTCCTTCCTCCTTTTTTCTTTTTTAAATAATGAACTGGCAGAGACTATTCTCTACAGAAAATGTGAAAACTTGTCTGAATTTCTTATTTGGAGATTGCCTTTTATGAAGAAGATATTAAAGTCTGCTTCCTCTTAACCTCTTAACTAAGCCTGTTTTCTAGATCTAATATAGCAAATCACAGCAGAAACATTACTCATAATTTATAGAATTTATTTGGTGGAAAATTTATCTGACATTTTATTTGTGTATATGCCCTAATTAAATCACATACTGTTCAAACTCTGTAAAATCTGTCTGTATTTCCAGACCTCCCCGGGTCTGGTAAAAATAACATAAACATGTTTAAGTCTATATCATTTAAAACTTTACTGAGATTTATTTAGTTTCATTTTTCAGGATGTTTTCTCCTTTATCTTTCCATTTACAATATTTTTCATAATATTTATTGCTTAGAGTAATACAGATATGATCCTTTGTGATGTTTTGAGACAACACTAATACTAGTTTAGTTTCATGTTTTTTGCTACACAGGCTTGTGACTAAATGTTTACTCAATGTAACTTTCTGTCATATTTGGCATTAATACTAAGTTTTTATCATTCGTTCATTAATTAGATATGTAATTGAATGTATACTGTGTGCTTGAAAGTCTTTGAAATGCTCGCAATATAGTGGTGACCAAGGTGGGCAGAATGAATCCCCTTCCTCATGAAGTTTCTATTCTAATTGAAGGAGGCAGGCTGCACAACAAAAAGACAAATAAGCAAGTATTATCAGATAGTACTGTGTCCCGAATACAAACCAAAACAAAACAAGACGATGGAATAGAAAGATTTTATCCCAGGCTTAAGTGGACAGTTAGGAAAGGTGTCTCTGAGAAGGTGACACATCAGTGGAGACCTGTCTGTCAAGAAGGACCCCCTCCCAGCTGCAGGGAGAGTGTGGCAGATGCTGAGAAACAGCTGGTGCAAAGGTCCTGAGTTGAGAGCCAGCTTGATCAATTCCAGGAACTGAAAGAAGGCGGTGGTGGTTAGAGCAGAGTGAACAGTGTGGAGACTGGGTAAAAGGAGTCAGAGAGTTGGGGGCACCTCTGCAAAACAGAGGACTGCATCACATTCACAGAAAGAGTTGAGATTCCATTAAAAAGCAAAGCCTGCATTTATATGATAGAGTAATATTTAGTCATCTCAAACTGTATCTAACAAAACACACATTTTTTTTCTAGTGGGTTGCTTGTAGTTTATTTAAAAACGATTGACCCCAATGTCTAGGAAATGTGTAAAACTTTAGACAGTTTCTACTTTTTCATCTTAATGATCCTCCCCACACAGCACCTCGCCCCTCCCCGATTGCTCACTTCACAGCAGTCCTCTGATAAGAATCTTCTGATCTCATTTAGTTTTTGCTTCTTCCCTTCCTGTAGTCTCAGCAGGAGTGGTGGCGGTGGAGAGGGGGATGAAAAATTAGAAGCTTCCTCATTTCTTTGAAAGTTTCGGCTTTCTACTTGAGACTCACAATCATTAATTTCCCCACTTCCTTGGAAATACTCCTTGGTGATCAGATTTCAGGGATTGTTGCTTGCTTTGCTTCAGATGAGTTGGGCTTTTCCTTCTAACAAGGAACACAGAATTTGCTTCTTCATGACTAACCTTTGCTTCTCTGCTCATGTGGCAAATTTCTAAACATAGGTTACCTCTAAGTCTTGCTCTTTTTGCCGCTTCTCCCAGGAGGGAGAGCACTGCTAGAGGCAAACAGCACTGCAGATTTGGCTCATTAGAACTTGATGCTTTCAAACTTCAATCTGCTCTCTGCTGCTATTTGGCAGCCTTCTTAATTGTCTTTTCTGCACTCCCAGGCTGTCTCCCCATGGGATCTATTTCAGACCTTTTCTCTCGCTCCATGCCCCCGGTCCCAGCTGTCCTGTCCCTTCCTTGGCATACCATCTCTCCACCTAGTCTACCAAAAAGAATGTGACACTTCCATTTTTATACTCTCATTTTTACTCTCTGTTTCCTTTTCTTGTGGTTATCTTCTCTTTCTCTTCCCTGGTGTTGGTGTGGAAAGTGCCCCAATTCTTCTCCAAAACCATCTGCTTTATCACTGTGTTTTGCATCACCTGTGACTCAGGCTCTGATACTTAACATACCTAATACTTCAAATCCCTTTGACTCTAGTTGCTCTCAAAAATGTCCAGGTCTTTCTTCATGAAAAACATGCAAAACCCCATTATTCTTTCCTTTATACTCAAGGTTCTTTCTGGGATTCAGAGACACCACATTCTTCCTCTCTTTTTCTGTTTTCTTTAGTTTATATTTTCCAATTGTTCCTTATACCCTGCCTGGCTGCCTCTTGCTCCTCCTCCTCTCTCCTATCAGGGTTCACTCTTGCCTTCTTTTGTTTTGAATTTGGATACTTGCTTTTCTTAAATTTTTTTTTTTTTAAAGAAAGCAGTTACATGTCTAAGAGGTGAGGCAGGTAACTCTCCAAATAAAACTGTTTGAGAGAAATCATTACTCCAATGCTTTTAGTAATCTTCTTGGCAATATAAACAGGTTTATGTCTTTCATCTCTTGGACTCCTCTGCTTAATGCTCAGCGAGTTCTTGTTTGTTTGTTTGTTTGTTTTTAATGAATGTACGATGTACTCACAAGTCCATCATTCCTTTTTTCTCCAGCTATGAAATCTCTTACCAGCTATGGCTTTGTGTATGCCATTAATTTCTAGAACATTTTTCCACTTGGGTGTC